TCATTACCGGTGATCCGAACCTGTCACTCGAAGAGGTCGGTGTGCCGAAGAGTATTGCAAAGACATTGACATACCCGGAGGTCGTGACCCCATACAACATCGAGAAACTGCAGCAGCTTGTACAGAACGGCCCGAACGAGCACCCTGGAGCCAGGTATATCGTTAGAGACAATGGCGAACGCATTGATCTTCGCCATGCTCGGAGAGCGGGAGGTCAGCAGTTGTTGTATGGTTGGAAGGTGGAACGCCATCTTATGGATGGTGATGTGATTCTTTTCAACCGTCAGCCATCTCTGCACAAGGAATCCATGATGGGTCACCGCGTTCGTGTCATGCCGTATTCGACTTTCCGCATGAACTTGTCTGTGACGTCCCCCTACAACGCTGATTTCGATGGTGATGAAATGAACTTGCACGTCCCACAATCTGAGGAATCGCGCGCCGAGCTCAGCCAGCTTGCACTGGTGCCGATGAATATTGTTTCCCCCCAGCGAAACGGCCCACTTATGGGTATCGTGCAGGATACTCTTTGCGGTATTTACAAGATTTGCCGACGTGATGTCTTCCTGACGAAGGATCAGGTCATGAATCTGATGATGTGGGTGCCCGACTGGGATGGTGTTATTCCTCCCCCAGCTATCTTGAAACCCAGACCCCGGTGGACTGGAAAGCAGATGATCAGTATGGCCCTGCCTCCTGGCCTGAACCTCCTACGTGTGGACAAGGACAGCTCGCCATTGGCGGAGAAATTCTCTCCTTTGGCTGATGGTGGTCTCCTCATCCACGGAGGACAGTTGATGTATGGTATGTTTTCCAAGAAGACTGTTGGAGCCAGCGGTGGCGGTGTCATTCACACCATTTTCAACGAAAACGGGCCTTGGGCTGCTGTGGGTTTCTTTAACGGTGCTCAAAGAATTGTCAACTACTGGTTGCTGCACAACGGTTTCAGTATCGGTATTGGTGACACCATTCCTGACGAGTTAACAATCCAGCGCATTGAGAACTGTGTGAAGAACCGCAAGAAGGAGGTTGAGGAAATCACTGCCAGCGCCACCGATAACACGCTCGAGCCTCTACCCGGTATGAACGTCCGTGAGACTTTTGAGAGCAAAGTCTCGCGTGCTTTGAACAATGCTCGTGATGAAGCTGGTAGCGAGACGGAGAAGAGTTTGAAGGATCTGAATAATGCCATTCAGATGGCTCGTTCCGGATCCAAGGGTTCAACCATTAACATTTCTCAGATGACTGCTGTTGTGGGACAACAGTCCGTCGAGGGCAAGCGTATTCCTTTTGGTTTCAAGTATCGGACTTTGCCACATTTCACGAAGGATGACTATTCTCCCGAGTCTCGTGGTTTCGTCGAGAATTCCTACTTGCGTGGGTTGACCCCGACCGAGTTCTTCTTCCACGCTATGGCTGGTCGTGAGGGTTTGATCGATACTGCCGTCAAGACTGCTGAAACCGGTTACATCCAGCGTAAGCTGGTCAAGGCGCTTGAAGAGGTTATGGTCAAGTACGATGGTACTGTCCGTAACTCTTTGGGTGACATCATCCAGTTCATCTATGGAGAGGATGGTTTGGATGGTGCCCACATTGAAAATCAACGTGTCGATGTTATCAGGTGCTCGGATGACAAGTTCCGCGATCGTTTCCGCGTGGATCTCATGGATCCTGAGCGGAGCCTCGGACCGGAGGTTTTGGAACAAGCCAATGAGATTGCGGGTGATGTTGAAGTCCAGAGACATCTGGATGAAGAATGGGAACAGCTTCTCAAGGATCGTGCATTCTTGCGCACCGTGGCCAAGGAAGACGATGAGATGATGCAACTTCCGATCAACGTGCTACGTATTCTCGAGACGGCTAGATCCACCTTCAAGATCCGTGATGGGGCCATTAGTGACCTGCACCCCGCGGAAGTCATTCCCCAGGTTCGCGCTCTTCTGGATCGCCTGCTGGTTGTGCGTGGTGACGATGTTATCTCGCGCGAGGCTCAAGAGAGTGCGACGATGCTCTTCAAGGCTCAGCTTCGCAGCCGTCTTGCATTCAGACGACTGGTCACTGAGTACTCCCTGAACAAACTTGCGTTCCAGCATGTCATTGGAGCTATCGAGATGAGATTCGCCAAGGCTGGTGCTAATCCTGGCGAGATGGTTGGTGTGCTTGCGGCTCAGTCTATTGGTGAGCCTGCTACGCAGATGACTTTGAATACTTTCCATTTTGCTGGTGTTTCATCCAAGAACGTCACCCTCGGTGTCCCGCGTCTAAAGGAAATTTTGAACGTTGCTACCAACATTAAGACGCCTTCCATGACGGTTTACCAGGAAGCCGGAAACACGTTCAACAAGGAGAGTGCGAAGCAGCTTCGTAGTGCTGTCGAGCATACCAGCTTGCGATCCGTCACCGAGGCTACCGAGATCTACTATGATCCAGACATTCAAACCACTGTCATCGAAAACGATCGGGATATGGTGGAGTCTTACTTCATCATTCCCGAGGATGTCACGGACGACATGTCCCGTCAGTCCAAGTGGTTGCTTCGTATCATCCTCAGTCGCCCTAAGCTTCTCGATAAGGGGCTTACTGTTCAGGACGTTGCCTCCAAGATCAAGGCCGCTTATCCCAAGGATATCGCTGTTCTGTTTAGTGATAACAACGCAGACGAGCAGGTTATCCGTATCCGTCAGATCCAGGATTACAAGGAAGACGAGGAAGATGACGACATCGAATACGATGTCACGCTCAAGAAACTTGAGCAGCATCTTCTGGACACCCTGACCCTCCGTGGTGTTCCTGGAGTGGAGCGAGCGTTCATTAATGAGAAGAGCAAGGTTCGCGTCCTGGAAGACGGTTCGCTCTTTGCTAGCAAGTCCGACCCGCTCTGCAAGGAATGGGTTCTTGAAACCAGCGGTTCGTCACTTGGTGAGGTTCTGGCAATCCCTGGTGTCGACGCCTCTCGGACATATTCCAACCAGTTCATTGAGGTCTTCGAAGTGTTTGGTATCGAGGCCGCTCGTACTGCTGTGCTTCGTGAGTTGACCCAGGTGCTGGCGTTCGACGGCTCTTATGTCAACCACCGTCACTTGGCGCTGCTGGTTGATGTTATGACTGTCCGTGGTTATCTGACTCCGGTCACCCGTCACGGTATTAACCGCGCTGACAATGGTGCTCTGATGCGTTGTTCGTTCGAAGAGACTGTGGAAATTTTGTTGGAGGCTGCCGCTTTCGGTGAGCTCGATGACTGCCGTGGTGTGTCGGAGAACTTGATTCTGGGACAGATGGCACCTGCTGGTACTGGAGAGTTCGACATTTACCTTGACCAGAACCTTCTCAACACCGTGGTGTCAGACAATGCCCGCCACGGCGTGATGGGAGCCGTTGGTGCCAAGGATGCGATCTTCTCGGATGGCGCTGCTACGCAGTATGATACTGGTTCGCCCATGCAGGCCAGTGCCTACATTGGCTCGCCCGATCCGGAATCGAACTTCTCCCCAATTCGTCAGGCAGGCGCCGAAACCCCGGGTGGTTTTACTGAATACCAGCCCAGTGGCGGCTTTGGAGGTGGTTTCAGCCCGGCGGCCACGAGTCCAGCTGGCTACTCCCCCAGCAGTCCGTTCAGCGCGAACCCGACTTCACCTGGATACTCTCCTACGTCGAGCTACTCGCCTACCTCTCCAGGTATGGCTATGACCAGCCCCCGCTTCATGACATCTCCTGGATTCTCCCCGGCCAGTCCTTCATTTGCCCCAACTTCGCCGGCCTACTCTCCTACGTCGCCGGCGTACGGGCAAGCCTCTCCTACGTCGCCTTCTTATTCGCCGACCTCGCCTGGGTTCTCACCGACGTCCCCGAACTACAGTCCTACGTCTCCCAGCTTCAGTCCGGCGTCGCCGGCGTTCAGCCCTACCTCTCCAAGCTACAGCCCGACCAGTCCTGCCGTTGGTGGTGCCCGACACCTGTCACCCACCTCTCCCACCTCTCCCAAGTACACCCCAACATCGCCTGGATGGTCTCCCACGAGTCCTCAGACATACTCTCCAACGTCTCCCAACTTTGCCGGCTCGCCGACGTCTCCTGGTGGACCTACTTCCCCAGGCTACAGCCCGACGTCGCCGGCTTTCAGCCCTACGTAAGTGTCTCCCCCCTCAGACAGGGTACAACAAGGTACTAATCTGCAATGCAGGTCTCCACGCCAGTAAAGTTCGAGCTTTCGTGACGTGTCTCCTTACGACTTTCGCTGTATCATTGTATTATCACCTCATCCTGACAAGTTGGAAAGGGAGAAAAGAAACGAAAAAAACATCTTGCATTGTATGTTGCGGAATTGGTTGGTTATATCATGCCGAAATTTGGGCGTTTGCAGCCTGCTTCTCTTTCCCATTCCCATTCCGAATGTATGTTCTTTTTCTTCTTCTTGCACACCAGCCTGCAGGTTTATTACCCTTATTCAATACTAGTTTTCCTACAACCAATCCAGCCTGCTAAAATTGCGAATGGGTTTTGTGGGTCTGGTTTCATGCTTCCTTGTTTTGTTTCCCTTTTTTGTGTGCATTTGAAATACCAAGCGTTTAGACCAGACTATGCTCATGCATCATGACTTGATCATGAGGAATGAGTGGGTTCACAGAGAAATGTCTCTTTTCGCGTGAAATTGCATGGAGGATGTTTCTTTCGTTGCTTTCAATTGCTGCGTGTATTTGCTGCTCTTACTGCGATCAATGGCCTGTATACGGACATACGAATGCGGACGGGGGCCATTGATCTGGAAGAGCTTATGACCTAATAAAAAAGACCCAAAAAATGTGAAAAAATCCCATTGAGCCGAAAATAAACTGGAGTAGAATGTAGTACAGGTAGATGGGATGACTGGATATGTTGTAGTAATAGTACAATACTTCGGAGCGCCAGTGCTGTCGGGGAAACGCCAGGTGGCCGCTTTCCCTTCCGCCTTGCCGCGCGCCGGAGATAGCGTGAGGAGAACCCTTCCTATCATCATCATCATCACCATCATCATCATCATCACTGGTTGCCGATTATCCACCAGGAAGTGAGCTCAGAGTCGCCATGCGCCTCTCATTGCTCACCTCTACTAGAATCTCCCTGACAACATGAAAAACCGCTGGTTGTGGCACATCCTGCCACTGGCGCTACGTGAGTACTTCTGCTGCTCTCTAACACCTCCGCGGCGGAGCTGGTCCCGAGCTTGACAATGACGCGATAGCCATAGCCACTGACTGACTCCTGTTGACTTCCATATCTAGTGCTGCTGCTGCAAGCCTTCCTAGTTGACTGTTATGATCAAACCGATGATTTATCCTCCACGATAGATGCTGTACATGAATCCCAGACGCCATTCGTCCAGTCCTCAAGCCGGTCTGAGGACGCTCAACTCCCACTGGGCCAAGGTGAGATTGATCTGTCATCTTATCCTCATCATCACTGTCTACTGCAACCATCACTCGTGTCTAACCACACTGCTTTGCTGTAAGCAGAACGCGTCGAACATGCCCTTCGAATCCTCCGAGACTCCAAACTCTCCGTCGTCGCCCCGGACACGAAACCCTCCGGCCTGGTGGGGTACGCCTGGTACTATGCCCAGGAAGCTTTCCGGATCCTCTTCATGAACGCACCGAGCTCATCGTCGGACGGTTACCACGCTCCCAAGCAAAAGATTCACCCGGATGTCGCTAAAGCCGTGCACGAGCTCACGATCGCCGCGGAGGAGGCGCACAATCCGGACGCGATGTTCCTGCTCGCGGAGATGAACTTCTACGGCAACTTCACGCACTCGCGCGATTTCCAACGGGCCTTCCACTGGTACCAGGCACTGGCGTCTGCCACGGGCAACAGCACCGCCCAGTATATGCTGGGGTTCATGTACGGCACGGGCGTGGGCGGCTCCGTCCAGCGCGACCAGGCCAAGTCGCTCCTGTACCATACCTTTGCGGCGGAGGCCGGCAACACCCGGTCGGAGATGACGCTGGCGTATCGCCACCATCAGGGCGTCGGGGCCCCGCGCGACTGCGACCAGGCGACCTATTACTACAAACAGGTGGCCGACAAGGCGATCGCGTATCTCCGGTCCGGCCCGCCGGGCGGCCAGAGTATGATCCGTGAGTCGTACCGGTGGGCGGACGAGGAAGGTGGCGTCTACGGAGAGGGCGCCAGTGTGTCGACGGCGGGGTTGCGAGATTCGGCGCACTCGGGAGCCGACGCGAATTTGGAGGATGTCCTTGAGTATCTGGATCTGATGTCGCGCAAGGGCGAGCTGAAGGCCACGTTCAGTCTGGGCAAGATGTACTACGAGGGCGGGCGGGGCTTGCCGCGCAATTTCCGACGGGCGATGCGGTATTTCAAGCAGGTCACTCGGCGGTATTGGAATCAAGATGGCTCCGTGAACCCAAACCACCCCCAGGGAATCGAGAAGTTGGCGGCGAAGGCGGCGGGTCATGTCGGACTGATGTATCTGCGCGGGGAAGGCGTGGAGCAGAATTTCGCGACGGCGTCCAGCTGGTTCCGGCGGGGACTGGCCAACGGCGACGCGCTATGCCAGCATGAACTTGGCTTGATATACCTGCATGGGTATGGCGTGACGCCGGACGCTTTCCGGGCGGCCTCGTACTTCCGGTCGGCGGCGGACCAGGACTTTCCGGCGGCCGAGACGAGACTGGGCGCCCTTTTCTTGGACCAAGGGGACGTCCCGACCGCCACTAAGTACTTTGAATTGGCGGCCCGATGGGGTTCGATGGAGGCGTTCTATTATCTCGCCGAACTGTCCAACAACGGGGTCGGCCGCAAGCGGCACTGCGCGATGGCGGCCTCGTATTACAAGATGGTGGCGGAGCGAGCGGAGGCCATCCATTCTTCGTTCGAGGAGGCCAACACGGCGTATGAGAACGGGGACAAGGAGCGGGCGCTCATCCCCGCGATGATGGCGGCGGAACAGGGCTACGAGCACGCGCAGTCGAATGTGGCGTTCCTCCTGGATGAGCAGCGCTCGCTGGTCTCGCTGGATTCGATCCTCCCGGGAGCAGCCAAGAAGAGTCGACCGGCCCTACTCCGCAACGCCGCGCTGGCTCTAATCTACTGGACGCGGTCGGCCAAGCAAGCGAACATTGACTCCCTGATCAAGATGGGCGACTACTATCTTAGTGGTACGGGCATCGCGGCGGACGCCGAGAAGGCCTCGACCTGCTACCACACCGCCGCGGAAGCACACTACAGCGCTCAAGCGTACTGGAATTTGGGGTGGATGCACGAGAACGGTGTGGCGGTCGACCAGGACTTCCACATGGCGAAGCGGTACTACGATCTGGCGTTGGAGACCAGCCCGGAGGCTTATTTGCCGGTGAAGCTGAGTTTGTTGAAGTTGCGGATGCGGGGGTATTGGAATTGGCTTACGAATGGGGATATCAATCCCATCCAAGAAGAAGAGGGTACGTTTTGATCTCACCACTTGACCCGATAGGAAAATCCGCTCGATGTAGTTGACACGAACCCCAAATGCAGCAGCCAAGCCCCACCGCACCTTCAAGGAGTGGATCGCCGCGTTCATTGAAAATGACGAAGAAGAGGAAGCCAATTACCGTGCTCAGCTGTACAAACGGGGTGAGGACGAGGAGGAAGATCTGATGTCGGCGGGGCGCGGGTTGGATGAGCGCCATAACCACGAGGACGGCTACTATGATGATCTGGACTTGGATATCGATGAGAGCGTGCTGGAGGGGCTGATCATTGTTGGGCTGGCGGCGACCTTGTTGATACTGGTGTATATGCGACAGCAGCGGAATCGCCAGAGACAAGATGGTGGGAATCTGGCTGTGGCTGGTGGCGGCAATGGCGATGGCAATGGCAATGGCAATGGCAATGGGATTGGAAATGGCAACGGGGTTGGCAATGGCAATGGCAATGGCTTTGGGGATCGGGGGTTCTTCCCTCGACCTGGCGATCCAGAGTTCGCGCAATGGGCGGCGGGGGGAGTAGGACATTAGAATAGTTGATTGGTGATGAAGAAATTGTAGTTGTGTTGTTGTGAGTTTGTCTTCTAGATCTTCGACCGGTTGGAGCATGTGACCCTCTCTGGCTTATCGATAAGCACAGCAGCAGCTTTATCGCTCCGTTTGCTCCTCTCCTCTCATCCTTGATCTCAAACTGAACTTTATGATTGAGCTTGATGATGCTCAGACATTGCATTTCTTCTCCTACGCCTCTCTGATGACCTGAGCCTAGAGCCTACAACGGAATACACTCCATTCCAGTCCAAAACGCAGACGAAGATGAGCGGCACCAACAAACGTCGTCGTCTCAACCCCTCACCGTCCTCCACCTTGACCAAGCCGTTCAAGTCCCCTCTCCGCAGACCTGCCCCTGCTACAGAAAGTCTAGATGGGGCGGTAACCGGTAGTCCGGGACTGAACACTGTAATCTCGGCGGAGAGCATGTTTACCCCCCTGGTGTATTTGTGGTTCAATGCATGCGAGCTAACGGCATCGCTTGGCTATAGATGCAGGTACAGCTGCAGGTACAGCTGCAGGTATGTACTGTACAGAAAACACCGGCTACAGCATCAAGCCACCCATAAACCCACAGAACAGTACTAAGAACTCCGATCCCAGGAATCGTCACAGCTGCAGCTACTACAACGACAATCCCAACCTCGACTTCAACTCCACGCCTCCAAAACCAGGCACGTACCCTGCCTGCTCTCGCGAACCCGCCGTGACCAGAAACTAATCCATCAAATTCCCCCAGCAGCAACAACAACAAACACAATCCAGTACCAGCCCAAGCAACAGCACAAACCTCACCCCCACCAAATCGTCAACTCGACCACGTCCACGCCCACGCACCCTCTCCAAACCCGGCATCCCCAAAACACCCCAAAAACCCACCCCCCTTCCGGTCGTCTCTTCGCCCACAACAACCGAGCTCTCCTCGCTAACAACCCAAAGAGCCGCCCTCCTCGCGCACCTCCACGCCCTGACCGCCGAGTACGACACTCTCCAACAGGCCCGCCGCATCGAAACCCAAAAAAAAACCGTCGAGCTGGAGCGGTTGATCCAGAAGTGGAAGGGGGTCAGCCAGCGCGCCGCAGAGGAGGTGTTTCTGGGGGCTAGGGAGCGGGTAAATCGGATGGGGGGGTTGCAGGCCTTGAAGTCGGGGAAGTCCGGGGCGGGGTCGGGGTCTTGGGGATGGGATTGTGAGGATCCTTCTACTTCTCTTTCTGCTGGGTTGCAGGGGCGAGGGCAGAGCTGGGAGGGGGATTATGAGGATGCGATTGGGGGTGAAGAGGATAGGGCTGGGAAGGAGGGGCAGGATCACGATGACGATGAAGAGCAGGTTCGTCTACGCTTCTCTTTCATCCGGTTTTTTTTTTTTTTTTTTTTTTTTTTTTTTTTTTTCTTAATCATCTTTTTCCCGTTTCTT